AAGAGAAAAATGGTATGACCATTGATTGCCATAGTGCAGCTGGAGCTAGTGTTCAATGGAGCCGTCTGCCAGCTATGTAGGTCAGACCATGATATAGCCTCAAGCAACTAGAATGCTGAGAAGTTTTAAATATATTAAGAAAAAATACAATACTATACTTCCATTTGATTGGGACCAAGAGTTGAAAATGGGATTGGCAGCTACAATCAGACTTGTTTAACATCTCTCACTAACGTAGCATAAATCTAGTGAGTTAGCATACTGGATATTTCATAGGCAAATGACTTCCCTAAGCTTAGTCTAGGCAAGTTCACTAAAGGAGTGAGAAAGCTGACTAAGAAGTGTTTAGGTTTCCGTGCAGACCCAAGCACATCTTACCAAAAGAGCCATAAAGAATCTAGCACATCTTGTTCAAAGTCATTTTGTTGATGAAAGAAGCTAAATGTTAATAGAAAGGAAAGCGTTATACAACATGATAGCAAGAGTAAATCAAACCATACCAACAGCACAGGAAACATCCCTAATAAATGAATCTACAGTTTGTTCTTTAAGTAAAATGTTTATGTTAACATGATTTCAGTGGGATCTAGTTTCCAGAATGTAGGACTCCAGAATGGCTGAATTTATTTGGTTTCCTCAAATAACTCAATACTGCTAAGGTGGCAATACCTTCCTTCATTCCCCTGTGTAATTTGTATCATTAATGAAAACACTTGTGCTTCTTGATATAACATCTTCATATCTGCTATTACTCTTAGAGTTTGTATTTTTAAATGCATGACTCAAAGAGGATGTAATTCAGACAGCTGGATGGCCCTGTGCAAAAGAACCAGCTACTTGCAATTATAGGTAGCAATTGATGGGAATTATGTGCATTTACATTCAATACCAGTATGTTATCTTGACATTCTGCCACTGTCAATCACAGTGAATAAGATTTGCATCTGTTCAGTAATCTCTTTAGGCTTTCGAGGCAGAAAGGACATTTGTGCCTATTTATAACTGATTCAATCACTAACAAGAACTTAAAATTTTGTTATACTGGCTGTGTTTGAAGATGCACTGATAATAAGTGAGACTTGCACCTTCATTTTCTTTCTTTTAAGTGCCATGT